TTCAGTAGCACCATCTCACCTCCCATTCAGTAGCATCATCTCACCTCCCATTCAGTAACATCATCTCACCTCCCATTCAGTAGCATCACCTCACCTCCCATTCAGTAGCATCATCTCACCTCCCATTCAGTGGCATCATCTCACCTCCCATTCAGTAGCACCATCTCACCTCCCATTCAGTGGCACCATCTCACCTCCCATTCAGTGGCACCATCTCACCTCCCATTCAGTAGCATCATCTCACCTCCCATTCAGTAACATCATCTCACCTTACATATCTGTGTCACTTTATTTCTTAAATCACCTCAAAGTTCAATTTCTCAAAGCCAAAATTTTTTTATAATCTACATTTAAATGAGGCTTAATGTGGCCAGCTCACTTAGCATCCACTTCAGTAACTTGAAATTAGGCACTAAAATAACTTGAAAGTGTGTTCTTCCACATGTTTGGCAATAGAATCTGACAAAGCCGTTGGCAGTGTTGCCTACATTAGAATTCACTGTGTGGCTTGAGCTGCCTCACAGTTATAATATCATGTACTGAATTTAAGTCATTTGTATTCACAAATAAATATGGATCATATCTCTCATGGGAGATATCAGTTCTTTCAGAGAATCATTACATCTTAGAATTCAATTCAAATATTATCAAACATTTGCAGTTCAGGAAAAAGATTATTGACATTAGAATCATTAGTTATAAGATGAAGTTATTATTATTTTCATGTCTTATTTTTCTTCTTCTGGGAGCCAATTATCTATAGGACCTATATAATGCCATATGATATTGCCATGTCTTCTTTATAAGTGAAGATAGATACTGTAGGAGGCATTCTTCTAAGGGGTGACTTCATGTTAAAACTATAGAAAAATAACACTTACGTAACAAAGGTAATGAGCATAAAGACTATGTTCTATGACTCTTGGTGAATTTTTCCTTGTTGACTTTCTGAGTAATTAATAACAATGTCATAAGAATCAAGTAGACATGACACTTTGTTACACCTAAAATTGTGTTAGATTTTGTTGCTTGTATTCTGTTAGACCATTGTCAACTCACTTTCCTTAGCACCAAGGTGTATTATTTTATGTCTACAGAGTGATGATCTTACTGAAAAACTGGAAACCGCATCTTCCAAATGTCTACATCTCTATAAACAGAATCAGCTGCTTCAGCGGGAGTTACTGTCTATGAAAACGATACAAAGGAAATATGAAAAATTAAAGAAGCATAAAAAGAAGTTAGAACAAGAAGTAGTTAACCTCAGAAGTCACATGGAAAACAATATGATAGAATGTGGTCGAATAGAGCAGTATAAATGGGAAATCGAAGAGAAAACAAAGCAGGATTTGGTGGAAAAGTTAAAACAAGTCAACCTATTCTTGCAGGTTAATTATATGCAATATGTCTTCATCCCTTTCACTGCAAATAATATTCTGCGTGTACACCTTTTATGTATGCTTCTACTTCTCGTGTCACTAGCTGCTTTAGAAATTTTAAAGAAATTGTGGGAAAGGCTGGTCAAAATGAAAGGGAATGGGTGCATAAAAACTACTTGAGCTGCAGTTATTTTTGAACTGTTTGTGTTCAATTTGCTGTAGACACAAGCAGCATATGAAGACAAACTAGAGAAGTTAAGGCACAAACAGAACGCTTCGGTACGAACTCAGATGGAGCTCAGAATAAGGGATTTGGAGTCTGAATTCTCCAAGATGAAAAGTCAAGTTGATTGCAATCAAATAGAAATGGAAAACTATAAGCAGCTCTACCTAGAAGAAGTGAAAATAAGAAAATCATTGTCAAATAAATTAAGCAAGTAAGTCGAAACTCAGAGAGGACAAACTAGGCTCAGTATTCTGTCCCTAGAACACAATTTTTCCTAAAATGGGTAATAGCAATTGGTGTGAAAATCAACTGTAGGATGTAAATTTGTAGGCTGGTACCAACTCCCAGTCCCAGTGCTGTTCTAGCACATGCAGTGTCAACCCCACCCTCACAAAGTCACAAAGGAAAAGAGAATATCATTTTAGAAAATAAAACCAACAACATAACTTACCTTAAGGGGCTGGAGAGGTGGCCCACCGTCTAAGAGTGCATACCGTTGAGCATCCGTTCAGTTCACAGCACCCACGTCAGGCAGCTTACAACACCTGTAACTCCAGCTCCAGGGAATCCAGTGCTTCAAACTCTGCCAGTACCTGCAATTATGTGAGCACATGTATATTCCCCTTTTAAAACAATTATTTTTAATAACTTCATCCATGTCAACTTATATCTCCTTTCTATAAAGCTTTGAGTCTCTCTTTATGCTATCCTATAGTTAACCTGGCATATCTCTAAAGCTCTGTATTTCGTATATTCTCATTACCAAATTCCTGCTTATCATCCTCTCAAAAAGAAACATTGAAAGGTTAGGAAATGATAGCTTGAGCCCATGGGTCATGGGATTACTGTTACTATTGCAATGGGCACGTCCTAGTCACTTGATTAGGTTTGTTTGTTATTACCTGAGGGTCCCTAGACATAGACTCTCCTTTATGGTTTTCTATTGTACCTTAAACCACAGTTTTGTCCCAGGAAAACATTAGCATAAGACTTAGGAAAGTATACTTTGGAAAATGTTAAGACATAGTTTCTGATTCAGTACAGGACTGAGAAGAAGACAGAAAGGGTGGAGCCCTTCTGCTCAATGGGGAATGTCATTAACTGTTTTAAAATGTAGGTTATTTAGGATCTACTCAGGAACATGAAGTGTGAGGAATTTATTTTTGCACTCTTCATAGAACAGATGAAAGACTGGCAGAGGCCAAGACCAAACTTCTCCTGGAGAGAAAACAGAACAGAGATTCACACTACAGCATGGTTGACACAAGGCCTGTGCTGGAGTCCACGCGTCCTAGAGACAGTAATAAATTTTTCATTCCAAGAAGTTTCTCTGGAGAAAACATGCTTACATCAAACCTCTGGCACTCAGTTGAGACCATGGAAAATTGCAAGACCAAGGTTAGTTTTCTCTTCCTTTCCTTTGGACTCCATTCCTGAGGTAGCTCTTGCTAATTCATATCATACCAAGTTATTTAGTTGCCTGACACATAATGAGTGACCATTATAATAATGTATGCTCGTGAAGAAAGAAAATAGAAATTTTATAATTTTCAAGATTTCCAAAACCCTTGTTTGCAAGCAATACTCATCTGTTGACTTGATGTTTCAGATGTAACTGATCGGTGGACTTCCGGCTTCTTTAAAAGCTTATCAGCTCGCTACATTAGCAAACAGATGTGACTGCAGAAAACTAAAGGTTTTCCTTGCGAGTGATTTGATTTGTGCTTCTATATTAGTTTTAGGATGTTTTTTCCTAGCTGAGTGAAAAAATAATTTTAATGTAATTGATGTGACTCAAGGTTTGCTTACAGAACTGGCCAAATTCTCAATATTAACTCTGGTGTCCTATAAGCATCATGACATCTGTCCATCTTCTATTGTCTTCATCAGTTGTGTGCTTTGCTGCTTTAAACTGTTTGAGGCAAACTTTCCAGTGTCCTCTTCCTTACCCACTCAACTTTGGGGGAGCCTCCCCCTTTTATTCAACCATCAAGCCCAATTCTTGTGCCCACAACTTCATGAATGTGGAATGTGTTGAATCCATCTGTGGCAACAATCTTAAAGAAAACTGTCACTCTTTCAACAGGTATCAATTGTAATAGGTTCTTTGATAGGACTGAAATTTCATGTCCATCTCCAATTGCCATGCTGATGTTTCTTCTGGCTTGAGCTTGCGCCAGGCTTCTGTATGCTGTCATAGCCCTGTCAGTTCATATGTGCAGTGGCTGCTTTACCTGGAAAATACTGATTCTTTGTATTCATTCACCTCTTGCTTTTACATTCTTTATGTCCCTTCTGCAATGATCCTTTAGGGTGCCATATAAATGTGCCACTTAGGACTGAGTATTCCGTAGGCTCTTATTCTCTGAACCGGGTCCAGTTGTGAGTCTCTGTGTTCATGCTTATCTATAGCAAACAGAAAGCTTTTCCATGAGGGTTGAGGACATGCGTTAATCTGTGGATGTAGTGGTAATTCATTAGAAGTCAGTTTAACATGCTGTCCATTTATCAGATGAATAATAGTAGGTTCTCCCTGAGACTCAGGACCTGTCTAGCCACAGGCTCTTGACTCAGTAATGGTGGCAATTTTTGTCTTGTTTAACAGTACTTAAATCCAATCAAACAGTGTTGGTTACTCTGATGGTGTTTATGACACCATCGCACCAGTTAACAATTGCTATCATACACCACAGGGTTTCTCCACCAGCTACAATTGATGATTCTCTTCCTCCTCCAGTAGCATACGTAGCATGCTCCAGCACTATGCAAGCTAGCAAGAATGAATAAACTTTACAGGTCAGGACCAGTTTGATTTCTCCATGTCCCATTGCTCAAGTATGTGGTGTCTTCAGGGGTAGGATGATGACATCTAGTTTTGTGGATAACCAAGAGCATTGGCAGAAACCTGTAATGTTGGCCATCAAGGCCAACAACACCTACAGAAGCAACCTGTATCCAGGACTGGGCTTTTATTTGTTAGACTGTAGTGTCTAGTAGGGGCATTGTTGCCATGTTACAGAACAACTCTATTTTGCCTCTTCTCTGTACATGTATACATATACTTTCATATATGCATTAGTATATGTATTCTGCATTAGTAGGTTTCAATAGGACTTTTTTGAAATCTCTAATGTTATTTATCCTTCCCAATTTTATTCTTTTACCCCACCCTCTGCCTCTTCACCATAAATTAACCCTGTGGGACGCACGTGTAATCGTCTCACCAGCAAGAACACACACGTGAACACACATCAGGATCCTTCCGTAGGAACACGTTTATTCCCAAAAACAAAATGGTGGGGCTGGAGAGATGGCTCAGTGGTTAAGAGCACTCATTGCTTTTCCAGAGGTCCTGAGTTCAATTCCCAGCAACCACATGGTGGCTAACAACCACCTGTAATGGGATCCAATCCTCTCTTCTAGTGTGTCTGAAGTTGGCTACAGTACTCATAAACACAAAATAAATGATTTTTTAAAAACAAAACAAAACAAAACAAAATGGTGGAAGAAGACGCCAGGCCCGGGAAAGCACTGCTTATATACCCTTAGAGCGGTGTATTCACCTCTGATTGGCTGCTTACTCATTGCGCGCCAAAACGCCGTGGGATGGGCTTTAACTTTGGCGGGCTTTTACCATGGCACATGCGCAATTTACTTGTTTACTAGGAAAAATCCCAGAAGCCAGCGCCATCTTCCAATGGTGGATTTTGCCAGCACCCGCTGCGGCTTCCTACATCTGCCCCTTTTTTGTTTTATTGCAGAGGGTGGTAGTAGAGATCCCTGGGAAGGTTTCGTAACTCCCATATTTGGGGGTCTCACAGTGGGTCTGAGTCTCTTTGGAGGGCGGTGCTCAAACTCTTACCCGTCACTGGGTCAGCCTCCCCACCCGGGGCTGCCCTGTCTTAGGTGGCCGAGGCTTATCCGTCTTCTATCCGGATAGAAGGACTTACCAGACCTTCTATCCGTGGAACGAACACCTTAGTGGGCAGGGACTGCGTATAGAAACGTTTGAGGCTTTACAGGGTGACTTTACCAGAAGCCCTTGGGTACAGCGGCTGAGGAATCTGTCTACTGGCTATTTCTTTTTGTTTTGTTAAACAGGCACTGGTCAATGTCCCGTGTCTTAGGCTAGCTGACGTTTTTCCACAGCCAGCACCAAAGAATGGTGAGCTCTCTGTCTAGGCTACGAGGGTCGCACACCCACACCTGGCATTCTCAGAATGTGCGCCCCAGGTTGTGGCCACTCGTGGTGTCACTGGGTAAACTCACCACTCGTGGTGTATCTCTGGCATATGGGATCAGCCTATTCCCGTCGTTGGGACCAATGGCAGCTGGCCTGGAGACAAAAGGATGGAGCTGTCTATCTGGCTGTTCTTGGCCTGTCTAGTGTGGTACCAGTCATGACTCAAACTCAAGCCCGATCAAGCAAATTCCATCTTGGGGGAATAAGCGATCAAGGACTAATAGTTTAAGACAGTCTCCCTTACCCTATCAGGTGCAATGGAAGCAAGTCCTCTGAGTGCAAGGGCTAAGGGAAACAGAAAGAGATGCAAACACCCATCCCTGTGCAATGGAGTCATCTCCTAGGGGTGCAAGGGCTGTTTGCCTCAAAATTCAGGTACCACAGCTACACAGACAAGGACCAGCCAGGCCAAGACTCCTCACCGACCCAGTGTAATGAGCAAATCTTTTGGGATGCAACGGCTGATGGCCCAACATTTAGCACCACCACTAGTGAGGGGGAGACTACTTATTTTCGAAGCAGTGATAGCCACACTGCAGGGGAAGCCCCTAGTTCTTTGGTCACAAGCACCTGTGCAATAATAGCCTTGTCAAGATTTTGTTGAGCTCTGAGTTTGCAAGCCAACCAAAAAATGAACACTAATCCGCAACATAGGGCATACCAAACAGGCCTACTCCCACCCACTTAAAAAAAGGAAAAGAAGAAAAGAAAAAGAAGGCTGAAGAAATCTAGGAGGACAGTCCCTCAGTTGGGGACAGATCCACGCGCGTCGAGTTGATGTTCACCACAGCTGCTCTCAATTTTCTGAGTGTCTCATTGAAGTTTTCTGACCAATTTCCTGTAAGATATTGAAACAATTTTCTGGACAGATTAGCTACATTATGTCTGACTGGTATGGGTTTTGGAAAGGCAGATAATATGGTCCATCGTCGTTCCCCCGATATACTAGGAACCTGTATCCCTTGGATCAGCACAAGGGCTGTCATCAGAGTTTGGAGGGTCCGCTTGGGTGTCACCTTCTAATATCGCGAGTCGTCACGTCAGCCGCTCTGGAAGCCAAAACGGGTTGTCTTCTTCCTGTGGAAAGATACAAACTGCTCCCCTGGCTTTTATTAAAATAGAATCTGGACCTTTTCATTGTCCGGTCAAGATGTCCTTTTATTTGACCAACTCTTTTGGCCTGTCAGGCTCTAAAATATTGAGGGTAAAAAGTACTAAAAGCTGTTCCTCTTTCATCAGTTAATTGTCAAGGGGAATTAGGACTTGCATCTCTTTTGAGAATATCCAACAGAGGTTTACATTCTTCTATGGTAAGCTGAAAATGAGGTTTTAGCCAATTAATATCTGTTAACTTGAGAATCATTAAAAGTAAACTATTTTTTGTATGTACACCTGTAAGCCAGAAGATGGCACTAAATCTCACTATGAATGGTTGTGAGCCACCATGTGGTTGCTGGGAATTGAACTCTAATATTTTTAGTTGTGAGTCTAGCCTTTAACGGCAGAACCATCTCTCTAGCCCCAATTATCCATTCTTATTGGAATTTTCTGTGTCACAATTGAATTCTCAGATATTGAAAAGATACTGTCTTTGAATCTTTTCTGGAGCAACAAGTACTCTAAAATCTTAAAGCTCATTGTACTAGAGCAAAGGCTTGTAGAGAAACTCCTTTAGAGAGATTAGCCAATAAAATGTACAATGAATAATATACACTGAGAGATTCAAACGCTTTAACCTTTTGTATTAAAGCAACAACAAATTTTTTAAGGCCAATAATCATTCTTTGAGGCAAGCTTTTTTAATGAATGGCTTCACAGGCTCTCAAAATCATGAGCAACTTCACTTAATGTAAACCTCTCACCTTTACCAGGAGGTAAAGGAACTGTATAAAACAATCTTCTAAATCTATAATAATTTTATATGTATTTACTTGAATGGCAGCTGGAGTAGGCAAGTCAGGCTGTAGTGCTCCATTAGTTTTATAAATCTTAAATTTGAACTTTGTTTTTGGTTTGGTTTGGTTTTTTTGTTTTGTAGACCAGGCTGGCCTCGAACTCAGAAATCTGCCTGCCTCTGCCTCTCAAGTGCTGGGATTAAAGGCATGCGCCCCCACTGCCCAGCTCTTAAATCTAAGCTTCTGCTTCACCCACTTTGTACAAAGTCTTGATTCAAATGTAAATGTTTTTAATCTTGGCCTATATCCTGAGGCCTGGCCCAAGGATTATCCTTCCTGTACCAAGGACAAGTTTCAGTCAAGTAACCTTGGTCACCTGACTGTTGCTCAAGCCTCTGTTCTTGGGACAGTCACTTTAAAAACTATCTAAATTTTCACATTTAAAACACTCCCCATTCCTATGGCTCTGTGTAAGCTATGGCCAGATCCTGATTGTATGAGGGTGTAATTTCATAGAAAAGACGAATGTATCTGAGTCTGTCTTTGCTTGTATGGTCTGAGAGCTGTGTAGGCAGTTTAACCTGATTAGCACCGCGCTGACCTTCTCCTACAAGCATGTTAAGATCTCAGTCTGCATTGTCTTAATTTAAATGTAAATGTTTTTAATCTCTAGCAGGCTAGCACTGTATCACAACCTGTTTTAAATATTTTTATTTAACTCTACCTGCTGTCCCCCCCTTCTATCACATGGGCGAATCAAAAAATTTTAAACTCAAGATTACAACTGTCAACTGTAGCCAATGGAATACTGGCAGTTTAACTAAATTTTTAAATTTCTTTTGTAACATTAGAGTATAACCATTAATTTTGAGAAGCAAAAGCAAAACCAATTTAAACAAGCTATTTTCTCTAAAATCAAGACCAAGTAGACTACCCCTATGCTACAAAGTTTTGCTGCCAATTTTTACATATAAATGCATGAAGCAGCTTTTACTATCTCATTGAAGAGATATTGGTTTAAAATCTTACTTTTTATACACTTGGTTTCTGAATGACTCTAACCCTGAGTTAGTTTTACGCCACTTTTCGTTACCAAAGTTGTAAATTTCTAATCACACCCAATAATTTAAGCCAATAGTCTATAACCAAGACATGTAGAACATTTTTATACTTTTAAAACCAATCAGAAACAACAATGAAGTGGCTACATATCTTATTTTTAGATCAAACAAAATTTGTTGCTTTTTCTAGCTGTAATTTCAAGAGAAAAGCACCTTGTCACAGAGATTTTTCTAAGACAAAACAACTCTTAGCTT